CCCAGTGACCCCTCAAGTTAAAGGATGGATACGATGGATAACGCCCTAATCTCAGATACTACTGGCTTGAATAGTTTTTTTTTTATTCTGTCTGTCACCTGTCACCAATAGGAGCCGATCATCAATGATAAATATTGCAAAAATGAAGAAGGTATATTCTTCAGACAACACGAATATCCGAATTATGCAGATTAGCATATGCTAATGCCTGAATTACTCCTTAGTACTTCAACTAAACAACAAAAAGATGGCAAACAAGCCCGTGAATGCTTAGAACATAAAATGTAGTCCCGAAAGTAAAACTTTAACAAAGCGAGAGTTTTGAAGTTAGAAAAAAATCTCCACTCTAGTTAATTAACTTACTGAGGCTTAGCAGCATAAACGATATCCGCGTATCTCTTTTAGTTAGTTGAATAAATTCAAGAAGAAGATTATAAAAAATCATACAACATAAACAAATACAATCATACAAAGAAACGTGTATAGGTACTAATGTACTATTAATATTATAATTAATGCTATTAATTACGTCTTCAAGTATTTAGTTCCTGTTTTCTTTTTGAGAGATGATTCTTATTATATTTTACCGTGGGAGAAGCCTGGCGGCTTCAGCATAACAGAGCCAGCTCGACCGAGGTGATACCACAGCTTCACTGAAAACCTGTGTCGAGCAATTTTTTTGTTTTTAATGGACATAACGATGAACGAACGAGCGTACAGAACAAAAAATTCAGCAGAAAATAACAGTTGCAGTTTTAGCGTTCGTAATCGTAGCCTTTTATGCCACAATCTTTAGTCGTTACCGTTTGTAAATATGGTCTAAACATTTATGAACTTTAAAAAAGTATCAAAGACATAATCAATTTATATTAATCTGGTTTCTTCATTCCCTCATTTTCCTTAGGGAACAGTATTTTTTTATCTAATTTTTATGAGACCAAACGGAAAGTAGACTTTCAGAAAAATCGTAAACCATCAGCTTGAAGACTACAACACATACACACACACACAAATGAACCAAAACATCACATAACTGCACACGTTAGATAGCATTTAATCTCCATCTCACATTAATAGTTCCACCTTATCTTGCCTTTTCTGCACCGCGACTCCCGTGGGTCCTGTTCAAGAACGAGTTAGATGACCGCAACGGACACTTTGACACGTGATGCGTTCAAGGTTTCGTTTATCTACTAGAACAAAGCGTTAATAATAATACTCGTATCTGTACAGTAAGCTCTCAACATAGCTCCTAGCTGTAGCCTCCGAGCATCGTATTGCAAACCATTTATCTATTCATAAATTTTTATTACACAAAATGACAAAAATATTTATTTAGCCACGTTTACTTATCTGTACAACAGCACTGCCGAGAGAATAAAAACTTGACATAAAACCTATACCAACCCGTCTGGCCAGCGTGGTATAGTAGGCCAAAACCTCCTTTCTAAGGAGAGGCTTATGTCCAGCAGTGGACTGTTAAAGGCTGTTGAACTGACTTATTTGTAAACTAGCTGATGCCCGTGACTTCGTTCGCATAGAATTTAAAGATCGCTGCCTTAGTGGGTTCGATTCCTTTATAGGGTTTTTCTAAAAAAAAAACAGCTACCTGGTAGTAAAATATTATCAAAATCGGTGAGGCTGTTTTTAAGATTACCCGGAACAAGCAGACAGAAAATATTCAAACTGGTTTTTAGGCATAGGTATCGTGCAAATAACTGTGTGAGCATGAAGATGAAATCTATTGTTTTGACATTACAAACATACATCTCAATTTTATTTATATATATAGATTAAAATACCTTTTTTTTTTCATTATTCAATAATTTTCTTAAAACAAATAACATTTGAAATTAAAACTTATTTAAACTAATTTTATTTACTTGTGACGACTACAGCCATTTTATGTTTGATTACGTAAAACCGTGTTCTCTGTGTAAAGATTATACATTTTTTGTAGCACTTGGCGTTACCCGCAGGTTTTATAATATGAGATTACGATTGGTTGTACACTTATGAAAATTTGAAGAAACATTACATTTTACACATATGAGGCTGTTAAAATATGGTATTTACGCTTTTAAAGCTTTACTTTACCAACAAACAAACAAACTCGTATGAATGAACAACGGTCACTCTTTATTTGAACATTTTGTATCGATTCAGTACTGTCTTATATGAAAGGAAATGCACTTCACAATTGCCAATATGCCCATGAGTGAACGATGATGATGATGATGATGATCTAGACTCACACTAAGCGTAGCTTACCCTGAGTTCTATAGCTCGAAGTAACATACTTAAATAATAACAATTTTTCTAAAAAAATACACAATTTAAAATTCATATGTGGACGTAACAATATACGTATAATAAAACATTCCTTTATTAATCCAGTAAAGTTAGCAGTATAAACTATCGCTCCCACAAACTATTTGGTAGCCACAGTGTACAGGAGCGCGCGCACTTCCCAGCCTCCTACAATATTATGTAACATGCAACATTGAACACATTTAAGGTAGGTATTGATTCATTTTCATGGTATCTTAATACATCACAAAATATCTTCGTCTTAATACTAGTAAAAGATATAAGGAGACTCAACCCGTAACATATTTAATACTTAAAATGTATTATTCAATAAATTGAGAGCATTCTTCGAAAGTACCAATAGTCTTTTTTGCCAAAATCTTTTTTAGCAAAAAAACACTGTAAAAGAGTGAAAATAACATAGCGAAAATACTTTTGGCGAAAGGCGTAATTACTGGTAGCACTGCCGATTAACTTCTCTAAGAAATATTAGATATTAAAAGTAGGTACAAGTTTCCTAACTTATTTACCGTTTCATACTGTTACAAATGACACGCTGGCCGAATACAGTACACCATGACAGCGCAAACGGGATCGATGACCACTCGAAGATGAGCCGCTCGCTGTGTTACAAACAACTCCAAAAACTATTAAACAATCTATGCTTAGTAGTTTCAAGTAAAACTGTCTAAAATCATTTTGGTATGGTGTGTAACCATTAAATGTTTTTGGTGAATTACGTATAAATTTAATATTGTAACTTCGTATTGGAAAAATAAATCGGTAATGTTTGCGGTCGTTCGTCCATGTATCCAAAAAAAAGCTTTCCCTGGTGAGTCATTTATTTCACCGCAGAAAAAGTGTGGGTGAGATTAATCTCGTTTTAAAAAATCTCATAAATGTTACAAAAAGTAGACAGATTGTGGCCGCTCCAATGAGGTTGAGTCCTAACGGCCGCAACTTGGTCGGGAAGCGCCTACATTTATCTTCGTCCCCGACACTCCGCTTTCGGTACTTAAATAAACACACGGATTTAGAAAATGCAACTAAAACCAGCGAGATTACTCCACGGAACATTATTATTGTATAATGAAATAGAACTGGGTTGACGGAGTTTGCAACGGTATATTGTGCTCGCGAAATCAGTTGGGCTCGAGGGACGCATGTACTGTTTTGATCATTTCCACTTTAACCTTTAGTAGTACGAGTTACGTTTCCTATGTTATAGCAAACGATAAAATATTTATAACTTAAGGAATAAAAATGTGAGGCAGTACAAAAAGGTTAGTGGAATATTAACTTTTTTGAACAATAAAGAAAGCACATGAGCCTATTAGTTAAAATCGTTACTACTAGACACATGAAAAAACAAGCTTAGTTGCACAAGCTTAGTTTGGACCAATGAACACACAGCAGAAACACTGCCAAATTTGAAGCGACCTATCGATCAAACTATGATGTTCACCGTACAAGGGAGCCATTCCCGTCCGCACCACCTTGTCGCTTTCCTAAGATTCGTGTACTTCTAAACATTGTACAAGGAAAATGTTTGTATAGTGATGAGTTTTACCTGTGAGTGATCTGTGAGTAACTATTTTAACTTGTGTCTAGTATTCAATACTATGGTAACGTACTCGATTTGCGAATAGGTTCATAAATAATTCTTACAGAACTTTGTGCACTATTATTGATTGACCATCGTAAATAGACGGACCATTGATATATTTGTAATGATGTTTTTGTGTAGATAGACGGCTAACATGACAGATGATTTTTCATAAAAGGAAAGTTATTCAAGTTAAAGATTTTAGGCAAAGACGGAAAGATAACTAAAAAATAAAATGTCATCGTCATTAACAGCCTATAACAGTCCACTGCTGGACATAGGCCTCTCCTTAGAAAGGAGGTTTTGGCCTACTATACCACGCTGTTGATATAGGGTTTGTTTCAAGTTTTCCTTCTCTTAGCAGTGCTGTCGTCCTGCGTAGTTTGCTCCCTTAGTCGCCACTTACGACACCCACGGGATGAATAGGGGTGGTGACATTCCGTATTCTTAATCCGTCACCGCACGGACTGTCATCAGATACGTTGAAGCGTAAGCAAATCATATAATGGTAACATATAATGGTAAATATGTCAAGAAAAATAAAATGTTTGTTTCTTTATTCTAAACTAGCTGACCCGCGCAACTTCGTCTGCGTCTCTCAATAGTAATAACTTTTCTCCGTTTTTGAAACATTCTTCATTGGTGCTCCGCTCCTATTGGTCTTAGCGTGATGATATATAGCCTATAGCCTTCCTCGATAAATGGGCTATCTAACACTGAAAGAATTTTTCAAATCGGACCAGTAGTTCCTGAGATTAGCGCGTTCAAACAAACAAACAAACAAACAAACAAACAAACTCTTCAGCTTTATAATATTAGTATAGATATTCCGCATTTGAAATTGAGTTTTATTTTTACAAATTATATAAAAACAAACAAGGAACAAAGAATGTGTATAGACAAAAAGATGTTATGAATAATGCTGCCTTATGTATAAAGTGTTCTGTCCTGTAAACACTGAAAAGTATTGTTTTTCGCATGTCTCTCGCGATCAAATAATTTACATTTTGTATTATTTTCAGGGTTTATACAACGTTTATAAAGTTAAATAAACTGGAAATTGAACAGAAAAACGTCTTGAACAATGTCTCTTCAAGAATTTTTAGTAGAAAAGTTTAGTCAGTTTCAACCCCCCGCCCCTGAAGTGATAAGTCGGAGCAAATACTCGGTTACCCTCGACTGGAGTAATATAGAACCATTTGAATTTATCGCCGATCGCCTGCTGTACAGACTTGAGAAGGACAATAAGATACCGCCTTGGATTGTAGTATACAGGTACATATACAGCGTTACAGTATTACCGACAACGGTAAATACACTAAATGGAATGTCACATTATTGCTTAAAATAACTGCAAAGCATAGAGCAATCGCTTGTACCTTTATTAATATATTTATGTAATATAGCAATAAGTTGGACAAGCAAATGAGAATTTCTATGGGGGAAAACTGGGGACTTAGTCATACTAGAGATAATTCTAACTTTATTAAACTAAAGATCATTGCGATAAAGAGTAATAAATCGAACTGTACTCCAACAGAGACTGTGCAGGCGTGGTCTTTCTCCCAAGGGCGCCTCGCCTTCTTTTTCTAAAGTTTCCACTAAATTCTTCCTGCCTTATTTAAATATCAAAGACACGCACCGACCCGCAGTACAAGCTGAATGGTATCACCTTGTTTAAATCTAATTCGATTTATTTAAGTGAGAAGAATATCAATTTTAACAGCTTGCTCTTTGCTGCATCGGACATAAATATAAGAGCTATTGTGAGCTATATTGTTTAGCGTCGGAGAGGCTGGTAAATCTGTCATACAGGTCCTCCTAGTGCAGATGCCAGTCTCTCACACAGATTCACCTAAACAAACACATAACACATAGTTTAGTGTTATGTGTTTGTTTAGGTGAATCTGTGTGAGAGACTGGCATCTGCACTAGGAGGACCTGTATGACAGATAACTGACGGAATAACTGTAACTATTCTTAGTGAGAGAAAAAAATAAACGATTATTATTAGCTATAAAAATATACGAAATGCACAGGAGGCAATAAATTTAAGTAAAACTTGAGAAGAGTTAAAATTAGGTGATTTCCAATCGTTAACAAACCTGCTTGATTCGATATATTAAAAATATTAGGTCAATCGGCAAATAGAACAGTCGGAAAGACTCGGTATGTGCATTACATACGTTTACCTTTCATCTTTTTAATTGCGTCGCAGTTTTGACTGCCATTGGTTACAGATAGTTGTTTTTTTACATGCTGCATTGTCAATCATAATATTTTGCAAGTAATGTAAAACCGTATTGAACCTTTAATTTTTTTCCAGAGGTGGTAAAACAAAAAAAGAAATAGACAATTTAGCTCCAAGACACCCTCACAAGTTTAGATTGAAAGTAATTGTACAGACAGAAGCAGTACCCACCCTTGCTGACAGAGCTGTGCTTTTCTATGGGAGTGAAGAGGCTGTATATGAAAAATTGAGTGGATTAAATGACAAAGACCAAAACAGTGATGGTGATAATAAAATGTCTATACCAAATATAACGGTTACACAAAATTTAGATGATATTGAAACACGCGGAAAAGCGGACGAGTTAAAACCTGTTTTAAGGTGAAGTATTTGACTTTTTAACCAGCTTCAAAAAGGTAAAGCTTCTCAAGTCGGCTGTATGTGTTTTTTATGTCTGTTACCCCAGAACTTCCATCATTGATGAATTTCTGTTTGGTCTAAATTTCAATAAAAATTCTACTCCTAAGGATAAAAATTAAGGAACGCATAAAGTTAATTATAATTGAACAAGGTGTTTGTTATGTTTGTCTCTAAAGTGGATTTCATTTTAAAATAAATGGTTGACTATTGTAGTCTTACAAAAATAAAACATTTGTTTATGCATAAATAATTTGCATAGACCTGCGTCTAGATTTCATTGTAAGAGGTAAGTCTAAAATGTCCGAGATTATTAATATTTATAAAACAGTATTAATCTTATATTATCATATCAAAAAAGAGCAAGAGTAAGAAGAAATCTTATAAACCTTACCTAATTACAGAGTTAACAGAAGTTTACTGTACCAACAGAGACAAAACATGATTTTCAATTGATTAGTTCTAGCGCTATTGTTAGCAATACATAGTAACAAAATAAATTAAAATAAATATTAATAGTTGAAAAACGAAATATCTTTCGCAGGCCATCATCAGCAGGAAATCGTCCAGAACACAAATGGTTAGAGTGCCAGTGGTCCGAGGAGAGGTGGACCAACACAGACACCGACGGCACCTCCATCATGTGCTTCTGCATGGCCGTGCGCTGTGGGTTCATCAAAGAGGTACGTGGCCGTTCTTTCACTTACTACTTTTTCATTTACTAAGTCAATAAATATACATGTGTATAAACATTGCCTATATTAAAAAAAAAAAATGTAGACTATTTTTCGAATGAAAAGTTGGTTTTAAAATTTGCACAGTTACAAACAAGTCGCTTCACGCGTCATGTCTACATATAATACATCCATTAACTCCTCTTGCGCAACTCAACAGTCTTTAATGTTACCTTAATCATTTTTTGTTCAATGGCTTCTTCATCTTTAAAAATAAAGGATAATTTATGTTGAAATGAATTGTTCAGCTCCAGTGCATGCTTGAAGAGAGGCCAGAACTCATCGGTATCCTGAACCCAACGAACGGCTTCAGTCCTCTGGCGACAGCCGTCAGAAAAGGTAGATATCAGCACAACTTAATTGGTGTGCAGACTATTGATCGACCTAATACTGAAATAATTTGGGCTCTAAGGTAGAAATGCTACAGAAATAGAAACAACACCGGCTGACGTCACCGCCTCGTTCGCAGATTAAATGGATGGTACAGTATATAATCTACTGTATAATATACACTCCGTACACGTCTACAGTATGATATGTAACAGTACCGTGTGTTCATAGTTTAGCGTGATTTAGATCCCGTAAATAAAAGAAAGCAATAACAAATATGGGCAAAATACAAAATTTGAATAAAAATAATATTTTGAAGTACCTAGCTTTATTGCACTTAAAGATTAAGTTAGTTTTGTATGAGGGTGAGCTGCTATCGGTATGTTGACTTAATGATATCTACTCTCTCAATGTCTCCATAAAAAAATAACAAAGAATATAATTGAAATTGGTAGGTAATGTTAAAAAATGTTAAAAAACCGAATTTTTCATCTAGGTTACCTACCTAGATGAAAAATTCGGTTTTTTAACATTTTTCACCTTCTCTTATGCATCCTGTAAATTTAGTTTCGTTAGTAGTATTACTTGTACTTTTGTAAGTTAATTTGTATTGGCATATCGTGTTCACCAATATCGATATTTATGACTACTTCCTATTTGTTTGTGTACGACAAGACACAACAGATTTCTGCTCAAAGTGGATCAACCCAAGCTGATAAACCTTACTTACCTTAATCGTTTTTCATTCATAATTCTAAGAAGGAAATGAAGATCTTGAACTATAATTTAGCTTCCTTTAGCTTCCATCCTTTATCACTACTTGCGAATATTATAGGGTACCGGTAAACAATGGCCTTTAAATGAGTGCTGTGAAGTTATATAATATTAAACAAAACATTGTTGTTAAAATAAAAATATTATTTGACAACTTATGAAATTTTGGTTACCAGCCACACTTGTTCTTTGAACGTTCATGTTGAAACATACATACACTAAGTGCACATAACAGCCTTAACAGACCTTCAATATACTAAATATATTATATACACTTCTTCCCACATTTTATTTAATAAATAAAGTGACTTCTATTTTTCATTAAAAGTAAGATGTTGCTGAAGTTATTAAAGCTGACGAAACGATAATTACAGGCTTTATAAAGTCTCTTGAGTAAACCCTCCCTCACCCAGAGACTAAAAGCTACGTCGACATCAATAAAAAATCTTTCATCTAGGCTCTTTTTAGGAAAAGGTGACAAATGAACCTTTACGAATACTGTGTTGTCGGTGCTAATTTATATTTAGATAAAAATTCAAACGATTATGTAGGAGACATAAACACGATAAGATTCGTGTTGTCGGCTGGCGCGGATGTGAACCAGCCCTCTGCCACCGGACAAACGCCGCTGCACCTCGCGGTACTCGCGGCGCGGATACCCATCGCAGAACTGCTACTTGAGAAAGGTGCTGACTTTCAGGTGAGAGGTACTGCATTGTTATTATTTTTAAGTCACGATTACTTAAAAGATTAAAAACAATGTGGTAGTAATGTAGAAATGTCGTTTTCCGTGGTCTTTTGTCTTCGTAACCTTTATTATGTATTATACTGATGACACTCAGCCCTGACCACGGTCTTGCCTTGATTTTGAGTATTTAAAACTATGAAGACTTATATCTGTTTTTTACCTAAACAATGCGAAATAATTCTATACACAGATTTCAAGAAATATTTTTCTCCGTCCTTGCGTCGCGTGCCTTTACAAACAATCAAACGAAACAAAGTTAACCAAGACAAAACTATTTGTACACAAATATTGGTATCGTGTAGTTGAACCTCGCTCGAAAATGAGTATTAACAAATGGTTATAAAAATAGGAAAATGTGACACCTAACGAAAGTTTATTTTTATATGAATCTAACTGGTCGCGACCGGTCTCCTTGAATAAGAACAAACGTTCACTGATACCGATTGATATTTAATTCCCGTCTCAATAGTCCATAGATTAACAAAGGGTAACGAAAAGTTAGATTCTACCTTCAAATATTCACAAACAGATATTGTCTCTTAATACCCTTTCATATTTAGGGTTCTTTCACGAGATCAAAGCGTGCAAGGGCTCTTGACTGACAAACGCACCCAACTTATGAAGTGAATCACAGAACGTGATATCCAAAGGCCTGAAAAAATACTCAAAATCATCTATTTCTTTTGAAAGTACTCGTCGAAGTTTAAAGCTTATCCATATACGAAGGATTGGACAAACTCACATACGTCGAGACGAGCCAAGTGAAGCGCAAGGACACTGACAGGAGAAGGACACACACACACTTTTTTGAATCCTTAAACTTGGATTTGGATTTTACCAGTTAAACGAAATTCTCGGAACATGATGCTAATACTGAACTTATTAAACATATAAAGTTTCAATAGCAAAGCTCTTATACTTTAGATTTTATCGATATCTTAAAAACAATCCGTGTTGTGGCGAATTAAGAATACGGAGTGTCGCCACCCCTATTCATCCCGTGGGTGTCGTAAGAGGAGAGGCCTATGTCCAGCAGTGGACTATTAAAGACTGTTGATATGATGTGATGATATTTCAGTATTTTTAGTGAATCTTTAAATTAGGCACGTGCTTGCCGTCCGAACATAAACGATTGACAGGCCTGAACTTGAACGAAAAATAAATAAATTATAAATTATAATAATATTAACTTTATACATCTCACAGACAGCTGTCTGATGCTAAACGAAGCAGATCCTGTAAATAAACATCTTATATATTTCTAAATTCAAACATATTGCCATACTAATATTATGAATGCGAAAGTCTGTCTGTCTGTTACCTCTTCGCGCTTGAACCGCTCAACCGATTTTAAAGTCTCGGGAAAGGACATAGGATAGTTTTTAGCAAAGAAATAATAGTCAAGGGGGGCGAAAAAAGAGGAGTAGAAGTTTGTATGGGGAATCAAAAACCGCTGAACCCATTTAGATGAAATTTTGTATTGAAACAGTTTGATTTTTGAGGCATACACATAGACTTAGGCTATAGGCTTTTGCCAGTGGCTCCACCCCCGTGTATGTCTATACACGCGGGCGGAGCCACTGGCAAAAGCTAGTATTATAGATAAATTACACCCATATACGACAAATGATTGTGCTAACCACACAATGATTTGTCCCAGTCAGTATGGGTATCGAATCCACGAGCTCCGACTTAGCAGTAAGGATCACTAACCACTAGACCAACAGGCCCGTCGATAATACAATTTCTACTTTTTGTCGAACAGACTTTGGATTCAGGATTAGTTATACACATTCAGTTTCTCATTGTAGGCAGGTGACGTAAATGGACTACGCGTGGAGCACTACGCAGTAGAGTCGTGTGATTTGGAGATGATTCGCTACATTCTGGACAAGGGGGGGGACATCCACGCTCAAGACAACAACGGCTGGACACCGCTTTTCAGAGCACGTACGTTATTAATTACGATTAAGTACGAGATTAATGACACGTTAAACAAAATAAGTGCAAAATAAGCAATTCATTCGTTGCCTTTCACTGAGTGAGTGAGGTTACCGGAGCCCAAATCCTCCCGAGCGAGAGGGACTCCAAGGGCAGTAACGCACTTGTGACTTTTGAGTCGCAAGTGTTCATGGGCGGCGGTAGTTGCTTACAATCAGGTGACCCGTCTGCTCGTTTGCCCCCTTATACTATGCACTAAACTGCAAAGATTTGATATTCTGACAAATAAACCTATTATTATTATTCTCTTTATTCCATTAAACACACATATAATTACATTTTTAAATATATTTATGTGCAAAAAAACCATTAAAGATATAAAAAATAGTGTCCTATCAGTATCGGGTACGGGAAGAAAGATATAGGTGGTTTAAATTTAATTTAGTAAGAAAATTTTGCCGTATGGAACGATGACAGAAAGTTGCGGCTGGTATTAGTCCGAACAATTCCTCGAAGCACTCTCTATGATAAATGCGATAGAGAATGCGAGTGAAGCCACATCTCTACGTAACGCCAAGGGATCGAAGCGATCGGAAATGTTTGGGCTATCGACGATTCGAGACGCTCTTCGTTGGATGCGTTCGAGAGGGAGAAGCTGGCACAGAGGTGCCCCTGCAAGGAGATGAGAACAGTATTCCATATGCGGCCGGCCTTGCGCTTTATAGAGCTGAAGGCGTGAAACACTGCCTTGAACTGTTCAGCTAGCTTCTTCTTCTTCAAATTGACCTTACCCTCTAAGTGACGTCGAAACTGGATATGTCGATGCCTAAGATTCCGATGCTGGCTGAGGCAGTTAGGGAGGTGCTCTCAAACTGAGGTGATACGACAAATGGTATCTTTTTTGCCGTGAACGCACAGACCTGTGGGCCAAATCCAAATACTTTACTTAGTTATCTTTTTCAGCTTTCAGAGATTGTCGTCATGCGGAATGGTAATGTAAACAAATGTTAACTATATCAGGCTTATTGGCAACAATAGTCCTGTCAGTGATAATAGGGCGATCCCAGTATAACGTTTCACGATCATTTTCAAGAACTGGGTCGGGCACATATTTATAGTACGAGTCTAGTCTCACAAGATTATACTTAAGAGCAAGTTGCTGATGGACTATTCTGGCCACTTGGTTATATCTATGCAAGTACTCACCTTTGGCAAGACGAAAACAACCGGAGAAATTATATGTCTGAGGCTATCACCGGGACAATGACATGCCCGACAAATTTCTGTTGTGCCGTCCTTCAGGATATACTTCCAATAATTATTCAACATTCACCCTCTTTGTGAGTGAAGGGCATCGACCATATGTTACGCCAAAATGTATTAGTTCTTTTAACATCTGGGAAATGTCCACCAATCACTAAATCAGGCTGCTCCCACCTTTATAAACGCACCACTCGTCCCTTTGAAATATGCGAATCTGAATATATTTATCCACTCTTTAATTATACCTTCGTATACGGTTTGCCCATGCATAAACCTTTTGTTTCAGAAAGTCAATGCGCTCTATGACCCGTGCCATGTAATCACAGGACCCGATAATGGTTCCCAAAAAAGGCTGATTTACAAAGCGCAAGACTCTCGGGCGTGTGTTCTTTATATTTTACTAATGCTCGCCACAGCGCGCTTGTAGGCTTCTAGAAGTTTAGTATACCCGTAAACGTTTTATAAACAGCCACGGGAAATAAGTATAACTTTACGTAAGCTATGTTTCTTGTTTAAATATTTTCAATATTTACCTGTGAATGCTGCAAATGCACTGCTCAAAATGAAAGTATGGTTGTTGTGATTAAATAAATAAAAAATGGACAGAAGTATTTGGTGTTGTTGTGTTGTTACAAAAACAGTTACGTAAGCCAAACGTAAGTAAATTAAACGTTTGCCTGAAGACCTGTAATGTAAATCAGGTTACATAGGCTTTAATCATAATAATAGACTACCACTAACAGACTATTCTTATCCCCTTCACTTGTTAGTAGTAAGATGTTAAGTGAAGTAATGTACATTACAATACTATCAATTATTGTATATATTTATTGCTCTTCATACGCGCCCTAAACACATTACTCGTACATAAGGATAAGTTAAACATCAGTATGAAAAGATTTTGCGTTTCTACACAACCTTTGAGTCATTATTCTTGTGCTGTATTAATATCTTATCTTATATCTGGCTGCAGTGTGTCAGGGGGCCACGACAGCTATCATAGAGGAACTGGTGATGCGTGGCAGTGACTTGACAGTAGCAGACGGAGCTGGACTGCCACTGACATCCGTGGCGAGGATCATGAATAACAGGCAGTTAGTATAACCATACAGACAGCTACCTGAACTATTTATAGAGAAGTCCACCTTAGCACAGCGAATCGCGTAGAACAAGCTAACTGGGAGAAACTCTCTTTCAAAATTCTTGGAAATAACATTTATTAGAGGCAAACAACCCCTTGTGCCTACAAGAATATAGATTCCTGTATTCCGCGGTTCACTGTGAAAACAGATGTGAACTAAAAGACTAGAAAAGTGATAACTAAAACATTGTCTTTTTAAAGTATCACTTAAAATACTATAACCTATATATATATATATATATATATACCAATTATACTACTAATATTTTACTGTGCCTTTACCATAAATTAAAAATGAAGCAACGGACATGAAAATAAGTGTAGTTCCTGTCCTTTTATAATACGTTGTGATGACATTTATAAAACTTTCATGTAATAAAAACAAACAAACAACCTTTTATCTGTTCTCACAACGTGTATGAACATTACTTACTGATCGCTTAAGTACTCGTAGTTAAGGGTGACAGCGTAACAAACAAACTCAAATGTGAGGTTTTTTGTTTCGGGTGAGAGTTGAGAGCATGTTCTAGTAGAAGTTAAGATTAATTATAATAATGACTCCACTCATCTCACAAACGGCAGTCTGAACCCAACCTAGGCTGAGGCCTTGCTATGGTAACCAGGCGGCTGCTAAAATTACTTATAATTTCTTGACTGCACGGATGGCGTAGTGGCTTAAAGCGGCGTAGTAGGAAGCGGCGAGGTGCCCTCTCCGTTTCCTACTACGCCGAGTGTTGTGGGTTCAAACCCCACATGGTCAAATTGTTGTTCTGAGTCTGGGTGTTCTTTGTGTCCGTTTCATGTATGTTTGTAAAGTCCCCCGCGACACAGGAATATATTCCTAATGCGGGAGTTGTCTTTAAAAAAAAAAAAAACTCATATTATAGATAAATTATACCCAGACACAGAACAAATGATAGTCATCACATAAATATTTGTTCTTGGTAGGTATCGAACTCACTACACCAGATTGCTTAGTGTGTACGTTTGTTCGTGCAGTGGTCGCAACCGGGACTCCGTGCTTCGGCTGGTGGATATGAACTATCCCCACGAGATTGCAATGGCAAACTTCACGCGTCTCACCAAGAAAATCCACAACGTCCACACGATACTTAGACTGCCTTCACTTTCTAAGAAGCCTAATCTTAGACAATAAATATTTCGCAACTGTAAGCTGTAGCAATTAACCCAATGTTTTATGTAATTTGTGTGATATTTTATTTTAACAATTGATTACTTTATTTACTCTTTTAATACAAATGTGCCAATGCTACTGACAAACTTACCTAATTTTAGAATTACGATGTATTGGAGCACCAACTCCTTCCTCCTTTTTCCGAGTGTTATGCGTGTCCTTATTTAAATTGTTACATTTTAAAGGATAGTTTAATCGTTCAAAGACAGACAAGTTGTCTCTGTTAATTATTATCGTAAAAGAGTAATACTGAGACAAAAACAAGTACATAAAATTATAAACTAATTTTATTAGATACGTAGAAAATATTTACAAAATCTTAAACACTAACGGAGTATTGAATTGCATTATGCGTGTAACAAAGTGGTAACAGGTGTGGTTAAAATAATGGTGTTCCAAGACAGCGGGGATACACGTCTGACCCCGAGACAAAGACGCCCGTGTAGATAACCTACGGCCTCTACCCCCATATTTACGTAACAAACACGAAATGCATTAAATGGCAAGCCCTCTATAATTTAATCCAATAAATAAATTAATAATTTACTATAAAATTATAGCAATTTCATACATATCGCTAGTAATACTATGTGAGTCATCCCACTGATTCTTGTATTTGAGGTGGTACCCGTGGACCTTAAAATTTCGAAATCCGCTTGATTGATGGGTTTGCTGTGCCCGTTAGTTTGTCTCAAATCAAATGTTGTGTCATTTGTATCCCTCTTAACTCTCTTTTTTAAATCTTCATCTACTTGGTCTTCTTCGTATTCTTCTACTTCTTCATATTCATCTGGATGCTCCGTGGCGTTGAGTTGAGTCATTACTGAGCTACTTGTTGTTGTGTTCAGATCATGATCCGAAACATTTTTTGGTTTTTGTTCGTCGACAAGTTTTAAGTTGGTCATCCTTACATTGATGTTACTTTTTTCATCTAAAGTTATATGTGCTTCAACTGGAGGGGGAATTTCTCCTTTAAATGGTCCGAATTGAGGAGTTTTAAGTAGTTCTTTAGTATTTGCGGGCAGTTTAGCAGAGAATAATTTAGGTGGCTTAGCCTCGGGTACACTAGTCAATGTTGCCCCTGATACAGTTTTGCCATCATATGTAGTAAAAGTCTCTTGATTTGACAACTTTTGATAGTGTTCCTTAGGTAACTTCGGATCAGGGGGAAGATAGTGGGGGCTGATCCTATCTGGTTCCATTACCAAATCAGTAGAGATATCTTTTTCTAAATTTTTCTTGTTGAATATTGCATTTAGTTCATTCTTTGTCTTTACATACACTGGATGCGGCCTGTCTTCTTTAGCGTGGTTTGGTGGAAATATTTCTTTTGTTCTATCATTGGTAGAAAGCAAATGGTCTTCTGGTGATGGTATAAACATAGGTTCAAATGTCTCTGTCAGTTGATCGCTAGGATATTTATGTTTGGAGGAAACAATCTGGGCTGGTTCTTCGTAATCTTCTTGAATATCGGTATCTTCTCTTCTATTGCTACCAAGAGTCTCATACTCATCAGTTATCCTGTCTTCGCCAGCCATTAATGGTTCTCTAATTATAGGTTTGAAGCCACTTTCGACAACGATAGAGTCTGGCTTAAAACCTGTGTTAACCGCGGGTTGTATTAAAAATGCGTCAGCCGACTCACCGATAAAATCGGAAGACTTCATTTCATTCTGTAATGTTTGATTATGATCAGGATTCATATGAATACGCTGCGTAGATTGTACATGGGCTGGTAGCGGTGTAGACGATGTTTGTAAACCATATTGCTTCGTTTGCATCATTTGTTGATCTAAAGGCATAGGGTTATCCATTGGTTTACCTAATATTATTTGTCCTGGAACATTTATATACGTCTGTTTAATGCTTTGTTGAGCAACTGCGTCGTTAGCACCTGGCAGCATTATTTGACTTTTGACCACATGGCTAGCAATTATATCCGATTGACCTAAATTTACCTTTTGACTTTGAGGTGGCAATGGAAGAGTAGGTTGAATCATACTGGGTTTGCCCATAATTATGGTTTGCAGATGACTTAAGGGAGTACTTTGATTTTTTTTTGAAACTAGTTTCGTGATTTGGTTGTATTTAGATTTAGAGGGATGCTGTGCATGCATGGTTTTCAATGGAGGTGTCGAGGTGCCTCTGTTTATAGATAACGGTGGTCGGTCCATAGTTGGCGGCGGACGTTCCATGGTTGAAGGTGGTCGATTCACATTTGAAGGTAGTCGATTCGGAACAATTTTTGATGGTGGTTTTTTTGCTGGTCCATACATGTTGTGATGGTTTGGCATAGGAAGCGGATAGGTACCTTTTTGGTACCCTGGAGGAGGAGGTCTACGGAGTTTTATTTCAGGAGGTACGGGTCGACGAAACGGTGGTCTCATATGCCCAACAGGTTTATTATGACCATTTGGATGGAGAACTGATTGTAATGTCAGAGGCTTCTGATTAGATGGTAAGAAATAATTCTGTGGTATTTTAGGAGAATCGATTGAGTATTCATCGTCTTCCCTTATAGGCTGTTCTGGTAAAAACATTTCCTTGACGTCTTCTGTGACTTGGTACTGTGTTGCGTTCCTTTTTAAGTCATCCTTCATCTTGTGTTCCAGAGTCTCGACGGTTCGTATCACGTCCTCAATCTGTCCATTGGATATCGGCAATTCAAACTCCTGCCCGTACGGCCCCTCGGAGTCGGGGTAAACTTCGCCCGTGAGGCCACTGCTGCCCTTAAAGCTACTGAAATTGTCATAATTCGTTTTCGTATTGATTATTTTTTGTGCTTTCTTGCGCTCATTTATAAAGTTTTTGTCTGGAGTAACTCGTGTGTGTACCTGAATTGACTCCATGGATACCATATCATCAGGAGGAGCAACTACCCTCTCGACAATACGACTTTCAACGCCCTCCTCGACATCGCACTCATCTAACACGTTTATCTTCCACCCGAGATGACGGTGCGTGAAACACTGTAAAAGAATATTTCATTAGTACGAGGCCACGTGTGAAATGTTTGGAACTAAAATCTTTCACCGTCCAAAAATATACATGTCAACGAGATATCTCATGCACAGAGAAGACTTGGAAGGCTGAAACAGAAAACAGATAGTAAAGATTATATACATACAAAGCGAATAGCCGCTTTATTAAATACATATATAATATCAGAAACCATCAATTGCAATTTTTTGTCAATATTTATCCTTCACGTGCGAGTATCAAGTGTCAAATAGTGATGATATGTCTTCATCAAAACAGAGACAATGATTGTGATTGATAGCTTCGAAGTCCTTACGTGTGAGAATATAGTAGAGAGTGAGGTAGTGTTACATGAACCAACGTAAAGAACAGATGAAAAGTATGATTATGTAAGTAACAGTGACAGTACATGGGAGTCCAGAGTCATAATCTAGTTGTTCAATCTAATGACTACGGTAAACTGTGTAAAATATACTAAAACAACGTACTAATAAATAGCTATAAAATATTGTTGTTTCTAGCATCCACATAATGATTATGACGTAATAAAACTATGATGATAAAACTATAAGAGCATTTTTTTACATTCATCCGTTTCGTCATGCAATATTGAAACTTGAATACAAGTGCAGCCAGATGAGCCCTAGGACAGATTTTAAGTTTTTTTTTTTTTATTGTTAATTGTTTCCTTATTACCCAATCATTTATAACTTATTCAGTTATTTACCAAAAATTATAAAAACTGTTGTTTAAGTTACCTGATAATACACAGTATCTGGAGTTTTCCTATCCGGTATCCAGGTCACTACTCCAGGATTGCCTTCCTCACAGACCAGAGTTAATGCTCTCTGGTAGGCGCCGAAGCTGAGATATTCATCAGCTTCAGGTCCCTTGGGGTCGGGAGTCCAGTTGCACAATCGTCCCACACCGATTGGTGTAACGTTACCGTTTCGGGTCTGACGGACACCAGCGTAGATCTTGATACCCTGGAAGGTTTTGTAACAAATGTATTTTTGTCTAATGCTTTTGAGCATTTTTGTTGGAATGCATTTAGGGTTATTGAGTAGGCTTTGCTTAGATGCCTCTTTAAGAGATGTAGTCCTTCCGTATTCCATGAAGCATCTATCAGTACAGGACTTACCTGCTTCTCCGCATCGGTCTTATGGAAGTATCCTCCTACAGGATCGTTCGTGATGTAGAATGGGTGATACCTCGCGGGCACGTCGGGATCGTACCCACCCTCTACAACGAATGTGTATTTGCGCCCGCGCACCACATTGATCTCCGGAATGAGCAAGCCATTGATGTACCAGGAAATACCCCATCCCACGTGACCTGTACCGGAAGATATGTCATATGTTATGGTACGATATTAGCAATTATTTTTTGTACATAAATATATTATTTAAAAACTAGCCGTACCCTCCCACACTTCGCTATTGTATGTTATATTGTGGTTGCATTGATGAAAAATGAGAAACTCACACGGAAAATAAAAATTAAGCCTCAATCAGTGCAGAACTTTTTAAGTTTTTGAAGCGTACACAAACCAACAGTTTTGTATGTATAGATACAAGTAGTAGTAAATTACCAGTAATAGCTGAATATCCCTGCTTGCCACCGGTTGGTCCCATTTGAGCGTAGAAAACGCCATCTGGCGGCTCGTAGCACTGAATGGCAGGAATTGACCATGGGACCACCCTGGGTACAGGTGCTGGAGTAGGCACGGGGTTAGGTTTGATCACGGCAGACTGTGGGCATACATACACTTAGCAACTCAACAACTAGTGTACTTAGCAAGTAAATTAGTGCATATAAATACATTATAATTAACGTTATTAATTAAAAGGTTTTCTAATAGGCATGGATCTTACTGGTGTTTTATAATAATATATTTTTGAATAATATTTTAAGATATTTCAAACGGAATAAGAGATGATCATAAATAAGAATAAATTAAAAGTTTTCATAACATGTTGTTCTATATTTACTTACTTGGTGTTTATTTGTGTGTTTGTGGCCATGCTTGTGGTCGTGCATATGGTCGTGCGCGTAGTCGTGCGCGTGGTCGTGTGAGTGTTCGTGCGCATGGTCGTGATGGTGATGACTGGCTTCAACGCCTGCCCCCGACTTATCGTCGTCTTCTTCTGGCATCGGACAGTTCCACATTGGCGGGCGACCGAACTCCAGCAGTTTGTCACCCTAAAGAACACAGATGAAACGTTTGAAACATAAACTAACTGCCTAAAAATAATATTTACTGTTTCGTTTTAATTTTCTTTTCTTTTCCACTAAAATAACTTTTTGCATTATTTAGATAAATACTGTTAAGATTGTCGGGTGTCTGAATTCCTAAGTCTCGCTTGGAGAACACATATATGCTATGGTAGGTTATTTTTTAAAATTCGTAAACCAAACTACGCTTGGATCTAGAATATTATTATGAAAAGCGTGTATAGCATACCCTAGTAAAGTGCGAATGATAGGACACTTCGTTTCTGGAGTTGAGCGGTCCTATGGCCCAGATGATGGGTTGCGACGCATTGGTGAGCACGGCGCGGTCCAGTTCGTCTGCTGCCCGCAGCGACCTCTGGTACGTCACTATGGAGTAACCGTTGACCAGAGCAGCGTTCAGTAGGCGGATAGAATTTGTGTTCTCCTGATGAAGGAAACATAGAGATTACACGAAACAGTCTCTCTATGGGTATACTGAATTGTTCTGCAGCTGAAGCTGACGACGCTGTTCATGATGATTATGGCATATTAACAATTGTCTACATTTTAGTTGGATCTTACTAAATTCTAAAGTATAATGGATAGAAAGATAGATAAACTTCTTAATTTACAAAAAAGTTTAGTAATTATATACTGTAGTGGACTAAAAACATTGTGATAGTTTGCTACCGAGTCACGCATCATTCCCAGCAAAGGGATTTTTTATGCATGTATTTTCTACTTTAACAACCTTTATGTTATATATTATTAATGGTACTATACATAACCTAATACTGCAACAACGTTACGTAGGTACTCAAAAAGTCAGTCAAATGCACGTTTATACCACTAGTCTCTCATCAGGGCACGATCCTCTGACCCCCGCGCACTGACTCTTGGCGTCGAGGTAGTAGTCGACCGCGTAGCCCTTGAGCGTGCTCTTGTCCACCCAGGCCACAGCCACGTCCCCTCCTACCATTTGCGAATGCTTCGCATTCCCGGAGATACCAAATGACATGTATTCGCCATCCTCTGAAAAACAAAAGATATCAGTTATTGCAATTGAAGTCCTTGTAGTGATGATCTTAGTACGCGGGAGAGCCATGAGTCAGCATAAATAGGTCGACCGGACTGATGCCACGGCCTCACAGAAAACCGCTGTTCAGTAGTTCTTTCTTTCCTTTTCTCAGAGCGAGTGAGGTCACTGGATCCCAAACCTTACCCCCCCAACTATTAAGTTGCAAATGTCCATGTGTAACGGTAGTCACATACCATCAGGAGACCCGTCTGCTCGTGTGCCCTCTTATACCATAAAAAGGGTTCAAATGTTATACTTACTGCGGGTTTACTGAAACAGCAAGGCAGGAGTGGCACCGGTTCTTCTATGATATGCGCTTACTAGTGTTATCATAACACCACTAGTAAGCGAGTGAGTTTGTTTTTTTATATTATTTTCACTTAAACCCTTTTGCTTTTTGATTTCTTTCTAGTACAACTATTTAATAGAAAATTTTCAAAATTATCATTAAATAAATTGTAAATCGGCTGGTACAGTAAAGAAGTAGATATCCGTTCGGTATATACCAAATCAGATAACAAATATGGACGGGAGTTTTTTGCGGCTCCGAGGAAAATCTTGTTTCGATTTTTGATCGGTAACGATAAGAAACAGCGAATAATTCCTTTTAGTCGTAATTACAGTAATAAATAAAAAAAGTATAAATTACAATATTTATGGGCGTGTCTTCTTTGTCATTCGTATTATTATAACAATAACATTTGAAAAGAAGAATATCAGATATACTGACCGAGCTTGGCGACGAGTTGCACCACGATGCTATCTCCAGCGACGGCCCAGCGCACCTCGAACGCAAGGTCGTCATACAACACCTCACAGTTCAACTTAGACTGAAACAATATTGTTTTAACATACAGTAACGGTTACGATACACATTCGGTGAATTAGAGATTAGAACTGTCCATGCAATCAGCCTCTATGTTAAGTATAACTTAGTCAAATAGCTTTCATCAGAAATAAAAGGGTAAGTGAGTTAAGTGAAAAAGTATTTATCACTTAACTCTTACTTAATTTTGCTTCAACTCAAAAATGTTCTAGCGCAAGTGATTTGAAAACGGTTAGCCATACGATAAAAGTTAGTAGAGAATATATGTTTCAATATCGGATAAGATTGCTCGTTACTCCGTCACCTCGTTCCGCGAACAATGCGAGGGGCGAGTGGCGTTCGGCGCTCGTTATAAGTTACCGCGAGCCGATACCATACCGCAACTTTGCCACTGCGACAAATACCGCTAAAGTTCACCACTCCGCTAATAATAGTCGGCAAGTTATGCACTGTGACATTGAATCTACTTTCTATACAAGAAATTATGTAATAATTAGTTCTTAGTGCGTTCCAATTATTCAGACACCTATTGACCACCGAATCCCAAGCACAGAGTTGGGGATACTAATGTTTTAAAAAAAATGAAGGTCTATCTGTTATGGAGATGTATCCAATGTATCTATTTACTTAAGTGTGTAAATTGATTGCAATAATAACAAATAATAAATTTAAAGTCTAAAAAACAATTTATCCCCCATATAAGAAACGTGATGATATCGAGGTTTTGTGTTAAATGTTCTATAACATTGAACAACATAGAACCTTTTGTGCGCCAGTCTAATTCTTACTTTGCTGTGTCAAGTAAGGTCTTAGAATTACTATACTTCTCATACTAAAGGCTACAATGGTCTTATGATAAAGTAATGTTACTTTTATATTTTAAAAATAATGATTATATACATACAAGATCTGCCACTCAAAAGCCAATATGTCAGTCGCTGTACTAACACTAACATATTTAAACACACACGCAACATCCTCCATGAGGTGCGTGGGTGTACACAGGCTCTTAGTGTCCCTCGTGTTACACTCGAGCGTACAATTGGGTCGCAGCTCTGGAGATAATGCGGGCCGGCCTTGACACGAAAGTGACGCTTTTCCTCCTCTTTTCATTATCTCGCTATCAGCTATTTGTCTAGTTAAATCCCTTCAACGCTTTGCGAAAATACACTTTTTTCTTAACTGATGACTGACTACGTCCTAAAAAGATCGAACTAATTAATCCTTATTATTTATTTTAGTTGTGAAAGAGTAAAGCAGCAGGTAAATCCATCCTCAAATTAATATTGTAATCCTACAATATTAGTTTTGGATATAGATTGAGTATCCACTTGTGTCCCGAGATAGAACCTACTAAGCTTCTATGTTCCATGAACTAACTCCTTCTAGGCCTCCCAGGTTTTCTCATGCCAGTGATTCAGCCTACCATCCTGTATAGAGAGAATAGCTCGTCATGGAACAGAACCCAAGGCTTTACATAGTTTTGAAGTTTTCTTCCATTATAGACGAACTTCTATTTAAACCAGGTACTCCAAATATCTTTAAAAGAATCCAAACCAACTAAAGAGCTTAAAATCCATTCTGTTTAAAAGATCAAAGAAAAACAGTTCGATAATCATTTTATGGAACCAATGTTCTCAACAACTAAAAAAAACTAAAACTAAACTGTTTGCTGATGTATAAAAATGCCATGCAATGTGCTGTCCCTTGTCATTAAGGGAACATAAGATAAAAACGCCACGTACTTATTAGTAGGTAGAGGCAGTGAGTGATACGCAAGTGTGACGTGTCCTCATCACTCACCGCGATGGCTCGTAGATAATACAATGAAAGCGTCTCTCAATGCGGAAGGAGCGCTGCCACCGCACCAAATAGATACCTTCTCAGTCGGAGAAAGCCGGCGATAACTCGCTAATGTCGGTCTATTATTACAGCCTTATTCATGTTATTGATACACTTGTTACATGAATAACTTCCTCTTAAATGTTTAATTTAATAATACTGCAAGTGACGACCATTTTTTGCTCAGGTCATTAGCATAGGTCAGTTTTTTATTGTCTACTCAGTGGTAATTTCTATTTTTTCTTTGCTATATAAACCTATCTTATGCAAGGTAGCGTAATCACCAACAAAATATATTTCTATATAAAAAGGCGATAAGAAAATATTGTACACAAATATTTGAAGAAGTTTATTTGAAGTACTTTAAAATATTTCTAAGCAATAGTAACAATCCTTTGAACGCACGTCGCAATCTTATTAATTCTTCCTTCCCACTTCATATTTCCAATTCGTTGAGTTTGCATTTCCCCTATATCGCTTTAAGCTTCGCTGCATCGCGTAAAGTTGTGGATTAGTAAAGAAAAACAAATAGATTTAGATAAAAATAAAAATGTAGCTTAATATCCTTCTTGAGTCTAATGCACTAGAACTAAAAAAGTGGAGCAAAACGAAAAGAAAAGTAAAGAGCTAATTCTAAGATAGTACCTTTGTTATGTATTTATAATTTTCAAAAAAAAAAAAAAAAAAAAAATGTAGTTACAGCTATGCTATGCTATACTTGCTCAACGACTGCATTCACTCCACAGTCACGGGCGGATTGAAGAGTCTAATGTTCCTTTTCTTCTATCTTATTTCCAAACTATTTTTCCCAATCAACACATTCCAGTTATCGTATCTAATATTCCTATAGGGCCTTATTAAGTGAGTTACACCAAATCATAGTTAGAAAATTAGAGGCGTTAATACACTACTGTTCTTCAAGGATATAAGAGTGATAAGCATATGTGTCTATTTTCTTTTTTCTTTTCAAAGATAACTCTCGCTCTAGGCATATATCCTGTGTAGCGTGGGACTTCATAAACATCCATCGTACGTGCACAAAGAATACCAAAACTGTGTGGATTACACAGAGTGTAGTTTCATGTGGGTATCGAACACACAACACTCAGAGCAGTGAAAAGCGGCGAGGTGACCGCTTTAACCACTACGCCATGCGTGCAGGAGTGTAGATAGCTGTCCAAATATACACATATGTGTAAATTGAATTGTAATGGCATTGTATACTAATATAGGGGTGATGCATAGAGATAAGCCAAATCTAATGAAGAAAGTTTTATGTGTGGAAGATTGATGGATATAAGAGTAGAGGACGACCAAACCAATATGTGTAGTTCAATTACACTACAATTTTTTTTTGTATATTAACAATAATCGCATAAAGTAACTGTAAGAAAGTAAAGACACGGCCTTGCATCATGTTTATCCTCCACTTAAGATAAACCGTTATTGCAATTGTAAGTGCACGTGACAAAGTTAAAGTATTGTATTATATAATATAGCGCTGTTATGGCAACGGTGGCCACGACTAAATTAGATATGAGTTCATTCATTTATTCCGAAATGAAATGTACGCCTAATATGTTGATGACACGTTGAAGAGCACGGGAGGAGCCGTACATCAGGTTTAAGTTATAATCGACAAGAGTTCTTCTAACTCAACCAAATAAAGTGTACAAGTTCTAAAGATAAGGCTTATTTTAGCAAGTGTTCTTCTATTAGAACAGATTGTATTCCTCAATTAGAACCGCAGGTATAAAGAAAGAAAGCTATAAAAATACAAAGAATATAACATACGGAATGTTATACACATTCCGGATGTGAAAGGGGTGAAAGTTGCGTGATTTGTAATGCTAGATGCAATAAAAAATTAAAGAAACCCGTTAAATAGAACAGCAGCAAGGACTCGTAATAGTTTTTTTAAGATAGATTTCTGGGTCATTTACACCGGAGCTCCTGCAATAACTAAGGGAATACACAACCAGTGATTGTGTAAATTCGATTAATATTTTCCCATTTACCCGTTACCCTGTAGCAAACGATTTCATGAAGAAATAGTACTTCATTCTTATGCCTCAGCACTTCAGTTTGTTATCGTATGATTTTTAATTTACAAAAATTCTATCGCATTGGTTAATAACCATTAAGTTGGTTAGTTGTTATTAAAGGATATCTGAGTTTATTTATCTACTGTTATTATTAGAGCTCTTAATTCCTAATCTCTATAAAGCCGGCCATAGACTAGTTTTAGATTATGCTCTTAAATTTTTGTTTATTTTTATGTTTCAACTTAAATAGTAACAGCATTAGTTACTATAAATAACTTAGTTGTAAAACAATCAGTAACACATTTGACAAAAAGACTGGCCTTACTTCAGGTTCACTTTATTTAAGGTAACTCTAAAATAGATATTCAGCTGAGTGTTCTCAGCTGTTGCGGTGAGTTTGGAAGTAATGCGAACGAGGTTAAAAGACGGTGAAAGTGTCTTCCGATACGTTCACCAAAATAAACAAATATATAAGTATATACAAATATGCTTTATCTCACAAGAGGGTTTACTTGGCATATAATTTCTTATCTCTGCATCAAATCTACTATCCAAAAATTTTTCGGTAGCTTTTCTTGTAATTTTTTGTAATGTAATTTGGGCATATAGTTACCGTGGGAGAGCCATGCTTGCAGAGAGTGATCATAGCCTCACAGACAATCGACGTTAAGCCATTCATTTGTTGTTTTGCCACGAGTGAGTTAGTGAAGTCTCGTTTTTTTAACATTTGAACTCTAGATGTAATAGAAAATATACCAGTAAATACATATTTATAACCGGAAGGGGAAGACGACAATAAATATGAATACCAGTCGTAAGTTGTTATGCTAACATCAAATAATCATAAATAAATGTCGCTGCCGTTTTACTCCGAAGAGATCTTAAACTTGGCAAATAAATGGACCTTCACATTATTACTAAACTAAACTATCAACTATTTATAATATTACATTTATATGGAAATTTTCTCATAAAACTTTAAATCTTATTAATTTTGTCATAAACATGGATCTGGTAAATTCAATTCATAGAAAGCATACAACAGAAACGGAGCAAGAGAAAGTTTTACTAATAAAGTGACGTCACAAATGAATCGTGACATCGAGTCCGCGTTATGCCGCGCCGAGGAAATGATTACACACATTGATACGATTCGACAAACTTTATTATACGTTTGACATATAAACATAATAAAAAAACAATTACAAATATTTTTCGTTTCTAATTGGGGTAAATGTGGTTGAACATCATTCACACCGAATTCCAACGTCGTTGTGGGTCTCCTAAAGTATCACAGTTAGGAACTTTGTACTGATTATTATCACATGACATCATTGGGAAATAATAACAAAAGTGTTTTATTTAATTTTGTAAAAAACTATTTTTTATATAAAACATCATGTCCATCACTGCATTTTACAGTATACTGTATGTATCACATGCGTCTTACAAATTACATAAAAAGAACAAGGAGTTTGTCTTACGAGATATGGCAAGGATAGATGATTCATTTTCACACAACTGTAATATTTCACTTAAAACAAGCTCCGAACCACTATTTCGTGGTACTAAATGTACTTAAACTTAACACTAACACTAAGGACTGGCTCTGTTTAACACGAACAGCGTAACGCGACTCGTCGTGAACATAACATAACACATCCATTCCTTTCAACAATAAACATTTACAAATTGCTTTACGATATTTCTACAATAATTGCAACATTATTACATTTTGTACTTTTGCACCAACACGATTAATCGTAACTTTGCCTTCAATAAATTCAGATTGATGACCTTCGAAAATTCATAACTGATCCAGATATTCATTCATGACTGCCGATGATATTGAACTGGAATTTCACTTGTTGCATTAAATGATACAATGCGAAACTAGAAATTAATTTTATGATTGTATCTTTCAAGACAACGTATTGTTAATTTATAGGAAGATAAGGTGAGTTGTATTATAACTACGGAGAATAAATCAATTATTAGTCATGTGTATGTATGGAATCATCCAGGCGGCTAAGAAACAGTGTTTCATTGTTTACAACAGTATCAATTTCAACGCTCAAAGTAAGAATGATAGAACAAACTGTATGCTGCAATGTAAGAACAGTCCGGCGGTCAGACGGTGAAGTTTGTTTTCAGTTAGTCAGACAGTGAGACCAACAAATCTGAAAGATCAAATATTGTTTATCCTTTGACGTGTGTGGGAAAGTTATGCAACGTGCGGCGCGTTGCCAAAATCCCCCACCTATTGTGTGATGAGGAAATCGATTGTTAAAATGTGGGAACTCGTCAACAATAAGCATATCATGTATGTATTCAACGGTATGTCGTTCTCTCGGTGATACAACTAAATACTAACCTCGGCTGACAAAGTATTTGTTATGATGTTGACCATAAATAAATATATTAGGAGTTATTTAAATGTTACATGTATTGATTGTTTGAATGAATTAAACGCAATTTCGTGACAAATAATTCACGATGAAATGACAGCACTATTCAAACTGGTTCTTAAAAGTTAAAAGCTGCCGCTTTCTGGCATTTTAATGTTTAAAATTGTTCGCTCTCCTTCAATAAATCTAAGTTAACCGATCGTTATGCAAGTGACTTTGTATTTTTAACTGCCACATAAATTTGTGACGCTGGAGGCAATACAGCGTTATATTATATCGTAACGATGCGCCTCTGGCGACAAAAGCACAAAGTTGCGTAAGAAAGTTGTTCATCTTAGGGACAAACATTACATCAACTTGATATAAGAAGAGCTTGTCGCGACGGTATATTCCAAAGTTTTTTGTCTTCAGATTTCCAACACGATTGATATAAAATTTAAAGTAAATTTTACTGCTTAGATCTTAATTTCTCCAGTACGAGTCAGTTTATGATATTCTTAACTTAATTTGATTACAAACTTCTTCGACGTTCCTTACACGGCTAATCGCTGATGACTCGGGACTGACAGCCGCGACACTTGCGCGATCCTCTCATATTATATTGTTAATTAATAAAAAAAGATCATCCAGAGCTACAATTTTTTCTCTAACTGTAAAGATTTCAAAGATTGGGCACTTTAATTAAGTGCCCCATCTTTGAAATCTTTAACTAACTGTAATCCTTGGATTCCAAAAATGAATAAAATGCATTGTCATTCGCTACATTAAAGGCTGACATTTGCTACATTATATAACGTTAAATCTACCGGGACTGATAATAATCACATTCAGATATTGAAGGCTAATGTTGATCCAGTCACGTTTCTCGTGTGTGTTAGGTGCGCATCGATGCTCGCAGATGGCTCTGGTGAGAGGAACGTCGAAGGGCGGCCGCTCCGCGATGCTACTAATTGCCCAATCGTGTTCGCACATATAATTTGTTATTACAGCTGTTAAGTTAACGTGACGAAATGTACGAGTGCTTTTGATCAGCCTTGAACATTCGCTCGTTGTGTGGATTCACACGAGTGATTCTAACACGACGCAGATGATATCTTTCTTACACATTTATATGTATACGTTACTGCTTCAAATTTAAATATTGGTAAGTCCTACTACTATTGGCCATTGTTAAATTGAAATGGATAAGTTGTGCGGTATAGTTTCTAACACAGAACATTTGAGTTTACTTCACTTATAATTATATCATAATCGTTGTGCCCACTAGTTTCAACGAGTAGATATCGTAGATCATCACGCATAAGGTTTTAAATTGTTTCGAAAACTTACTGAGTCAAAATATTTCTTCTCAATAACAACAGCAACCACAAGTTGTTGAACTAACAAAATAACTCCTATTGCTTAAATTTATATTCGTTGATCGTTCATAATTTATAAACAGTAATGAATGACATAACCAGTGAACGTTTAAGTAGTTTTGAAGTAGCGTTGAAAGGATACAAGGATGGCCTAACCATGACCCCAAGGGACAAACGAAGTGATGGTGAGTGTGAAAGGCGAGATGAGCGATGAGTCTGTTACACAACTAAGTCACATTGCACCGAACGCAACGTTGCACGCGTGGGAGAGCGCAACTGGGTCAAGGTCACCGGACTATCACGACTGTGAGTACGGCAGGAGACGGTACTGGATCGGTTCTTCGCTGCGCTGCACCGAAACTTCTGTCTTCTGCTGATAAGCTCGCTGCTGAGCCTCCCCACCCTGGCGCTGATCGAAGTAGTTGATTGGTTGTTGTGAATTCTGGGGCTCTAGGCTTAAATACAGTTGCTGCTGAGTTTGCTGTAGCTGCCGTTGCCTTTGCTGTAGTTCTTGTTGCAATAGTTGTTGGTGTAAGAACAACTGTTGGTAATGTTGCTCAGGGGTTAGCGGGTTCTGTTGTTGAGGATCCTGTGACCTGTGCTGGTGTTGCAGCTGTTGTTCTTGTAGTTGATATGGTTTGGGTCCGTTTGATTGTGCGACTTGTTGGTAGTTTGTTTGCTGGTAGTCAGTGGTTTGTTTTTGTTGTGGTTGATAGTATTTCTCTTTGGAACTGTTGCCTTCGTCATGGTAGTCAACTTCTTTTGAACTTTGTACTTGAACCAGTTGCTCAGAGGGAGGGTTATCAGAGTTTGCTCTTCTGTAAAGATTGGTGCGATCTTCGAGGTTATGTTGTATGGAACTAAACAGAGAGGCGCCTGGACGGAGTCTCGACGGTGGTCTGTAGGTGGTCGCGTCGAGTTTGGCGATTGGTGCGCGGGGGCGCGCCGCACGGGGCGAGGAAGTGGTAGCGTGGCTCGGACTGCCCGCCAGCTCTTTGTTGCGGCTCTGCAACAGGAAAGCTGCGCTCAGCAAGGGATCGGGAAGGGCTTAGGGCTGAGGGGTGCCTAAAGGGGACTAGGGTGTATGCTACTTAATCAAAAACAGTTATATTTGTATACTTACCACGAGGTCTAATGTAATTTGCCAAAATGTTATGTACCCTTTACTCTTAACTTTTGTGTTACACCTTTCTCTTAAGAATGAAATAAATACCTAAGTTGCGAGCGCCGACCTTTTGAATATTCATATACTCGTATAGCTATATGCCAGGTCGAGGGAAAGGTTGCATATATGTAGGTATGATTGTCGAAACATTTAAAAGCAAGTTGAACAAGTGATATATGTATAAACATTATATGCACTATTCGTTTATGAAAGAATAAAAAAAATACTTGTACTTTACTTCAAAACGACGTTAACTTACAAAATTTTATGAATGACCTAGCTTGGTTCTAACTGACGTCGTATCTTTCTTTATTCAGAACTATGGAATCAATATAGAAATGATTTTATAAATATCTCTAAGAATGTTTCACAATAAAACTTCGGCTTTAAATCAATGCCATATTTCAAAAGTGCTATTTATTTGAACTCGTTATCCGCAGCTATTCCAAAGCTATTAACAAAATGATGTGTGTAAGCTTTAATTGACGCGTAAATTGGCTGCAGGACATAAATATGTATGAGCGATGTTGTCGTACATTTAATTACAGTTTAATTTGTGACGCGGCCGATATAATTAGTTTGAATAGTCCGTTAATCCGTCCGTGTGGTGACGGATTAAGAACACGGAATGTCACCACCCCTATTCATCCCGTGGGTGTCGTAAGAGCCGACTAAGGGAGCAAACTGCACAGGCCAACAGCATTGCAAAAAGAAGGAAAACTTGAAACAAACCCCATACCAACCCGTCTGGCCAGCGTGGTATAGTAGGCCAAAACCTCCTTTCTAAGGAGAGGCCTATGTCCAGCAGTGGACTGTTATAGGCTGTTGATGAAGTCCGTTAATAAAGTTATTTGCACTCACATCCACACAGGTCAGAAGCTTAATTACGAACGATATGCAGACCATATGCGTGTGCAGACACACTCTAATATTATTATTCTATGTTAGTGGTACTTAAAAAAACTATAACAAATAATAATAATAATATTATTAACATCACCGTAGGATCCCAAACTTGGCAGAGCCTGTACTGTGGTTACCGACTGCTGATACATAAAACTTATTTAACTAAATATATAAAACTTAACAAAACTTATTTAAACTAAATCATATAATAGTCTAGCTGGTGCCCGCAACTTTGTTCGCGTGCAATGTGAAAAGCGCTACAGTAGTGGGTTCGATGACCGGACCGGACAAAATTTTATAGTGTTTTTCTGAGAGAAAAAATAGCCTAAGTTACTAAGTTAAGTTACAGTTACCTAAGTTACAGCTACCTGGTAGTAAAATATTAGCAAAATCGGTCAAGTGGTTTTAAAGAATACCCGGAACAAACAGACAGACAGATAGATTTACAAAAAAAAATTAAACTGGTTTTTAGGCATAGGTACCGTTTAAATAACTGTGTGAGCATGAAATAAACCTATTATTTGGACATTACAAACAGATACATCATTTTTTAAATTTGTTTAGATTATATATAGATAAATTACACTCAGATACAGTCATTAGTACTGTGTCTGAGTGTAATTTATTCGTGCTCATCACACAATCGTTTGTCCTGGGCGGGAATCAAACCCACGGCCTCTGGCTTAGCATTCAAGATCACAACCACTACACCACCAGGCCCGTCATGGCCACTGATTTCAAACTTGCTACCTCACGAACACATTAATATCTTGTGCTTAAACAGAATGCATAAAATTACATAACGCATGTTGAAACAGATCGGAGGCTGTGTGATCTGTGCGCGGGTCATCGACCTCTCGCTCAATGTCCGTCAAACTACTGGCCAATGCGAATGCGCACCCAACTCAATTATTTTATAAGTTGTATCTTTATAATGGGGTAGTTCTATTAAGGTAAAATAATTTAACAAACCTCACTTTTGTTTTGAACCTTAAGTTATAGCCTACAAATGATAGAGGCCCTGTGTCGATGGTTTTATTTTAATTGAACTAAATAGATTTTTCAAATATCACTAGCGATGAGTATCACACGTTACTAGTAATATCGTAAGGAGGCATCTTATTGAGCTGGGTGTCAACCAGCAGCCTCTCTATTTCGGCCCTATTGCCATTAAGCTACTTTCATTTTATAAAAACAATTTCCAAACTTATGTTTTACAAAATTTAGTAAGTTAAATATGACCCTTATTGTAACTACCAAAAGCATTACTTTACCCGATTTTGCCGGTTATAATTTTAATACTAATTGAATGACAGGGGCAAACCTATTGCCCTCTGCCTGACTTATTGCTCCTGTAGTTAGCGATCCTAACTGATAATCCACAGGTCGTGGGTTCGATTCCCATCCAGGAAAAAGTAATTTGTGATGAACACTACCATTCGTTCTCTGTCTGGGTGTAATTCATATATATATTATCAAGGAATATAAAAGTATGTTTAATCAATAATTTATATGCCAGGTACCTTGATTACTGTATTATCACAACGTCACATGGAAATAATTATATAGTCGAAACACTATCAAGTGAGAACCATCTAGAGTGTCAAGAGCGAGCGTTAAATGGGGTGTGGTAAATGCATTTTATTTATAAAATCAAAAGAGTAAAGTTAACGACCGGTAGATAGGGACGCTAATAGCCGCTGACAGCGCACATTAGCAATGGAAGACGAGTACGCGAGTACGTACTCGCACTAGTAACGTTTAATACTTCGCAGCACTCACTGCTGCATTATTCAACGTTATGAAAAAGCAAAGCACGCTTTATGATCTAGGGAGTCTCGCGACCCTATTTTATAAGTATTCGGAGTCTGTGAAACTCGTAGTAGATTCGTAGAGCTACGCCGACCAAATTCGTCGACGCTTGGATCTCGTCCAACCAGGCCATCGTAGCCGTACCGTAGCACAGGCACGAGCGTGGTCAACTTATTATGATCTGTTATCGGTTACGTGCCAACACATCTTCGTATCGATGTGATGATGTGGTTGCCAATTATATACCTACATGATATTTACCGCTGAAAAACTTTTTTAATACAGAAATACTATTTGTATGAGAGCGACGGCTTCTTCCTCCGATCCTGTCTCCCAAACTATATTGGGGTCGGGAGAAGTCTACTGCAAAATGGCTGAACTTTTACGTGCAGTGACTGCCATCAGACCTACAAACCCCCAGTACTAAGCGATATCGAAGTTCTGTAGAAAGACTGTTGTCGTACGCTTTAGGGCTCCAACCACGAGTAACAATTGACACAGATATTCGTATGGCACCGGTAAAAAACATTTTATCGTAGAAAAGCGTGGGGGGTTAGATCTCAGTTGTTGTAAAAATATTTTACTGACACATATGGGTAAAATTAAAGTTATAATATTATAAAATACCTTGAAAAGCACCCACGAGCTTTTCCGATAAAATGTTTTTATTTTTTTATTTTAGAAAATTATTTCCTACTTTTTAGTTCGGCTAGCTACAGAAAATCCTTTTTTGTTGAACAGAACAGAACAAAAAAGTTGAACCGACTTCAAACAATACTAACAAAGAGCACTAAAAACCTAGCAGCAATCGCGGTTCATTTGCTGTCATTTTTTGAAGAGTTACGTTGTCTGTCTCTGAAACACATCATCAGGTCGATATGAACTGACTATTTCGCAATAAACCCCTTTTGCAGAATAAAAGAATTTAGCAAATCCGTATAGTAAATATATGACGGAGTTATGCACGAACATACATAAAAAATGTTTTTTCATTAATGATGATTATTATCTTATCACATATTCTTCAGTACACGTCTTAGTACGTGGCAAAAGATACTACCGTATTTTAGGTATGGAAAATCCCAAAAGCCCTGATCAGGATAATGGGACAAACTATTTAAATTATTGCATTGTCATCGGTCCTTGATAAGTTTGCAAAGTTTCAATTTAACTCAAGTTTTGAAATGAGTCAATTTCACGTTCGAAAATTCCGTTAAATACATATATACAAACCAATTCTATAAAAGCGTATTAAAATATAGTGCAAAGTGTAAACAGCGCTGCAGCGCGACGCAACCTAAGCACAAAGTTTTATTAAACGCGACGAATAAATACAAAGCGAGTGGATTAGGCGAGATGCTGGATAACGCTGCACAGTGAATACATTTGGCATTATAATGTACTTCAAGACGCTCATAATACTGACTTCCATCTTTGCTTTCTGTAAATTGGGTAATAGGATACTTCACCCTCTGGCCTAGAAACTTAAACCGACTCTCACGCCTAGCGCGGCAGGGGTTGAGGCGGCCGTTAACTCTTAATCTTTGTAAGCTTGGCAGATTTATATGAATTTTGTGCCTTATAGTTAAATTAATATTTTACTATACATTAAATATATACTTGTCTGTGGAGAGTCCTGTTAGGAAGCCAAGTCATTGACTAATAATAATAGATCATTATGAATTGACAAAGTACGCACCGTCTCTGCAGTATTCAGGAGCTTGTTATCGAAGATGATTGATAATGGTATTAAATTCCTCTTGGCATAAAAGTCAGCTCAGATTGAATGATAAAATAAAAATGTGGATAGAATATTAAACTTTTCCCATTAAAACAGAGCAATAAAATCTTCTGCAATCAGTACAGTGTTTGCACTTACGAGAGACTTCACGAGCTCGACTGCTCAAGTACGATACTCGCGTTTTTTTCTTTTACTAATAGTATAATAACTGCGAAATGTCTGTTAATTTTCGTGAACACACAACAACGTAGATACGGCAGTAATTTACGGGTACAACAAATTATTAATTTACTAATGTACAGTCTACAGAGATGACGCTGTTGTGGCCACATTCGCATACAAAACATACATCAATGTCATCTAACGAAGACGCGCCCTGCCC